TTTGTGCGCACGTCTTCGCCTGGATATCAATCGGATACGTCTTCTCGGTCTCAAGACTGGACATCATTTCGTTAGTGTTTGATTCGCTGGTCAGTAGAGACGGTCGATGACTGGGAATGGCTGTCGTCGTGTGTCGTCGAGTGCTCCGGACGGACACGTTAGGCGACGAACTCCTGGATCTGCTGACGGGAGTGCGCGAAGACATTGATGGTGTAGAGGGAGGGGTTGTGGGGCTTCGTTCGCAACTAATGGCTCGAACCAACTCTCGGACACAAATGCCCTGCAATTCGGGCGGTGTTTCGCGCGGACTCTCCGAAGCGCTTCGCGTCTTCGATGGACTCAGCGCTGAGTTCTTGGTCTCAGAGTCTGTGAGGAATCGTTTCTGAAGCGCCGCCACTCGACTGCCAGTTGTGGTGAGACTTGAGGTCGAGTTCGTAAGGCTATCGCAAAACGAGTCCATTTCGGCGAAAGTGTTGCCGTAAACCGACGGCGAGACCAGAGCCGAGTCGGCGCCGATTGACTCCACTTCCGACTCACTGGCGAACGACTGACTAATACTCGTCTGGTCTCTGAACGAAGACATGGTTTTGTCGATATATAGTGACTGCGAGAGAGCGCAGGCGTTGCTGTTGGACGGCGAGGACTTGTCGTCCAGAGATTGGTCGCCAAACGGCACGCCGTTATGTTTGAACGCAGACGTAGTCTTATGGCCGGTGTATTGAAACACTTTGTTCTCGTTGTCCTCTTCGTCGGTGATGTGCATCACTTCCGACTCGTGCTGCAGATATATCACGTCATTGATAGTGCGGGCGAGAGTCCAACCCTCGCCTTCGGTGTTGAAACAGTATCGGCGAAGACTCTCGTCGTCGAGTCGAAGCCAAGTGCCCGACGAGTTGGTGGTGTCGGCCATCACTCCGATCACGTTTCCCAACACAATCATCCCTATGGGCGGCGCCCGAAGGTTCGCTTTGCTGCGGATGTTATGGCCGGAAACGCCGCACTTTACCACGTGATAAAAGCCGGGAAACTCAGGCGCTTTCGTCGTTTCCTTTGACTTCTTCTTCTTGCGCTGATTGGACATCAAATCGATGGACAGTTTGCGCGTCTTCTGGCCGTCGGCCGGCGACTGGCCGTTACTCATGACTATGGGTTTGGGTTCGCCGATCGGCACCAGAAGTGTTTTACCCAAATGTTGATTGTATTGCAGAGACCAGCCCTCGATGTTGTGCTCCAGCGCTGCGCCCGTATTGCAGTACTTCTGAATGGATGGATGGCTGAGTCGAACCCACACCCCATCGTCGTTGTGGGTCTCTTCGATGATTGTGATGACACCATTCACTTCAATCACACCCAACTGTTCCGACTGGAGGGACGGCAACGATCGCACCCGGAGTCCGGCGCTGTTGCGCACCACAAACTTTCTCGTCCGAGAGGGCACACACTTCTTGGTCGACGGTTTGACCGCCGCGTTGGGCACCAGCGGTAGTGACACACCTTTGGGCGGTTTACCGACTTGAACCGATTGAGTGGCGCTCACCGGCACCCCATCCACAGTGATCTTCAGCTGATACCAACCGGTGGAGGCGGGCGTCCAGTTGGCCGTATAGGTGCCGTCGCTGTTACTCCGGACGAGCATTGTCTCGATGGTGGGTCTCTTCACGGGCGTGACGTACCGGAGCTCTTCGAACGAGTAGTTCTCAAACTGTTTCATCATGGTGATCGCGTGGTAGAACACCTTGTCTTTGGCGGTGATGCTGTAGTTGACAGTCTGCACGGGCGGACCCGCTGTACCGCTGCCTCCCTGTCCGCCGTTCTCCGGCGCCGACTGACTGTTGTTGGAGTTGTTTTTGAACGGCTGAGCGCTGACCTCCACTTTCAGATTCGGCACATTAACAATGTTGGAGTACTGGTCGCGAGTGATCACTGTTATAACGGTAGGCCAACCGCACTGTAGCTCCTGATCGGTACCGCAACTGCAGTGCACTTCGCACTGATTCGGATCGACAAACGATTCGCATTGAAACCATTTGGCCAGTCGTGCGCCCGAAGTGCCCGGCGTTAGGGCTAAGAAGTCTTTGAGAAACGGGTGTTCGTTGGCCAACGGGACGACGCCGTCGATCGCTTCGGTGGCGGTCATCGGCCGCGACAGCGCCAGACCCCGACTCAGGAGACTTGAGTGCGAGTCAAATGTCTGGAGCGCCGATTCGTAGTTGGCTTCGCTTTCGGTGACAATTTGTGGTAAAACGAGATTCTTCTTCAGCAATGTTTTGACGCAAACGCCCGACAAATATGTCAACTCCTGTTCCAAATATTGGAGTCCGAGATATAGGCCTTCGGTTATGGGATTCTCGTAACCGACGACTTGGGCTCTGAAGCCGTAATAAAGAGATTTGTCTTCTTTGACGTAATCGGAAGCGGTCTCTAAAGAGAAGACAACTTCATTGCCCGGAATCACAACCCAATTGGTTGGCCACGTGTTGGGCTTTCCGTTGAACTTCTTAAGCACAGGCCATAAGCACTTGTTGTTGTCGTGAAATTTGGTCACTTTAGACGACTCCCAGCACTTCGTGGCCCTGTATTCGGGAATATATATCTGGAGAGTGTCTTCGGGCTGAGCGGTGGCGCACCGGCTGTCAAAGTCAATGCACATCCACTTGACTGTCGGCGCGAATTTGACTAAATAGTTGCAAACAGTGGCCGATTTGTACGGATGATCGCTCTCTACAGTGGCGTAATGTCTGGATGTGGTCACTGTTGGACTGGACGGCGGTAATGGAGATAATGAACGATTGGGAACGCAATATTCATTGGATTTGTTGAGAAAAACAATTAATGGTAACAATTGTCTAATTATTGATAGTATTTGTGTGGCGTTTTTGGGATCCGATGAGACAATGGGCGACAAATAAGCCAAAACCGATGGCAACAACTTCTTGATGAGAAGCGACGACGATATCTTCCATATGAGATCAAATGTGGGACATTCCTGGGCCTGAATTAACAGTTCGATCGCCATTCCGATGACACTCTCAGTGATGGCAATCGCATTCTTGCGGGGAATCTCTTCGTTCATCAAATAGTAGTTGGAATCGGAGTTCAGTGATTGCGGAGCGCTATAGTATAGGAGCTGCGCATAGAGACAGATCCAGTGATAAACAGGAATTAGTTTTTAGTGTTAACATAAGAAAACAGATAATAGGGATAATACTTGTGGTATTTGTCCTCTCGTGTGATTCGTGCCGTTAAAGCTTAGGGAACAGTCGCTGAACGTGAAGGTGGTGTTGTCGGGCCCTCTGATATGCGTGAGTCCGGCGTCGCCGTTGTTAGTGCGCGGGCCGTGATTCTTGAGTCGGATGGCATACTATTGGATCCCAACATAAGTATTCAATTGAATTCAATGGCGATGACAAGTGTGCCTTACCTTAACATTAGGTCCAATAAGAACCGGTCGCTCGAACTTGATTTCGCAAACGTCGGTCGACTTGTCCTCAAAACTGTACGAACCCTTCGCCAACTCGACGGTACGCCACGGATGCGACTAAATGCAAACCTAAAAATCTAATCATTAATTTTCATATCCACTCAAGACATCGGGTCCTCAAGACATGATTGAACTCGAGTTTCACGAGTTGTTTCGGACACCGGTTGGCGGCGCCGGCGGTGGACAAGGACTCAATGGGGCCGGCGGTCAGGCCTCGGCCGCAGCCGCCAAGAAGTGTGGCGCCGGCGCAGCACTCAAACCGCTGCTGAAGGGAAACAAACACCAGAGGAAGCAATCCATGTCCAAAGAGATGCGCGAAATAGCGTCGGGAATATTGCGGCAAATGTTGGACAAAAACCACGGCTGGCCTCCAGTGGCCGCACCACTGATGGCCGCTCAGTCAGCGTCGGCCGCATCGCAGTCACTGGAAGTGCCGTTCATTGAGCTCAACGCCAACGCTTCCGAGTTCAGTGTCTTCGCTGCCGTTCGCCAATCGGTGCTCCAGAAGCAGCTCAAAGACACGTCGCTTGTGTACGGCTCGACGTATGGCCGGCTCTACGGGACCGACAGTACGGCCAGCGATGACGAGACCAACGATAATAAGCAAACAGAGTCTGTGATGAGGGTATGTGTGTTAATACGGCTTATCTATTGAGTGATTGTTTGTGACATTTGTTTGTTTTTATAACCAAAAGGTGCCGAAAGTGGTCGGCTTTGGTCTTAGTGTGGCGTTTGAGTTGATCCGCGAGTCCCGTACGTGTCTGCCATCGTTGTGTATTCGCGCACTTCAGGCCCTATTGAACGCACTTCAGGGACAACTGCCCGAAGGACTCAAATGTATTTTGTTGTCAAATCACTCGTCATTGTAAACCCAATGTAACCATTATTTTCATTGCCCGACGTCTAGACGAGCCCTCAGATGTGATAAACCCATTGTTTGATTTACTACTGGAACTGTCATCGACACAAACCACATATCACGAGAGCACCGGTACAATAGCGTCGACGTCGACCTCCGTGTCCAACAATCAGACGTTCATTGAGCTCAAGTCGTACGCGTGTTCGGCGTTACTAAGTCTGGTCACAGCCAGAGGCGATACGGACAAGACGTTGACCGCAATCACAGCGCTGTTGACGAGTCCACAGTTGACCGCCGATAACGATGTGATCGAAACGCCCAATATATTGATATCACTGCAACGGTCCGTACACTGCGTTCTGTTGGGCAAAACGAAACGACCCGATTGGCTGACACACGGCTTCTGTGCGAACTCCCTGTGCGACACATTCACTGTCCGCATACCGTCCGACACCAGTCGACACTATAAACAGTCTTCCCTCGCCTTCGACGGCAAATATCTTTACTTATATTCCGGGAATCAGATCCACAAAATCGGTTCCGGATATTGCGGTACAATTAAAGGACAACTCATTCACAGCAATAGCATCGGCTCGCATAAGACACAGAGCGGTCTCATCGGTTGGATCGGTTATATCGGCGACAGTCTATACCTGCAGACCAATAACTGGACACACAATGAGTTGATCCGTTTGGATAAGAATACGTTCCGAGAGGTGGGCAAAGTGACGCTCGGTGTCACCCAATTGGGTCCCAGCGCTTGCGCCTCCGATAACGAGAGTTTACTACTGATTAGCGCCACGAAAGACGACTGTTTTGTCATCAGAACACTGCGACCGCCGCCGGACTCGTCCACAACGAACGTCATGTCCATCACTCAGGAGTTGACCATAAAGTTGTCCCACAAGTGTCTCAACGTATGCGGAGGTATCGGTTCAGCCATTTTCGATCAACAAATACCGCCAAACGAACAACAATTGAAACCACCGTTTTTGCGGCCAATCGACACCATCGAAGCCGACGATATCGTACAGATCTGTTGCGGCAAAGACTTCGCACTCATTCGGACCTTCTCTGGCAAAGTGTTCTTCACGGGAAAGGCTCAGAGTTTGGGTATCAAACAAAACGCCGTCACTTTCGGCAAGTGGTCAGAGTTGCCGATAACTAAGGCGCCAAAGATCGACAACATTAGCGTTGGTCACGAGGGCTCACACGCGCTGCTGGTGGCCGACGACGGCTCCGTCTACTTTGTGGGTCTGTCGAAGAGAGGCGAAGACGGAGAACAGATCAAATCGCGACGACAGCCGAAGGCGGGAAAGCCCAAGAAAATGATGAAATTGGACGCCAAGAGCGTCGAGTTTAGCGCTTGTAATCACGGCTCCAGCGCTTTGGTGACCAAAAACGGCGAACTCTATCTGTTCGGCAAAGACGCCCACTATGTGGACCGCACCACCGGTTTAGTGACATCGTTGCGACACGTGATCATATCGCAAGTGGCCATCGGAAAGGCACACATACTGGCCCTCTCTAACAAGGGTACGGTCTATACGTTCGGCATCTCCAATAAGGGTCAGTGCGGACTCGATCTCATGCAGACCTCAGCGAACAAAGACGCGGCCGTTAACGAGGAGTCCGGCGGCGGCGTCGACGGCGACCGCAACCCCGACCAACAGATCGATATGACCGAAGACATCACTGAGCCGTTGTGCGCCATCGGACAGCATCGGTGGAAATACGATCAGTGCATGATTTGCACCATTTGCGGCGAGTGTACCGGTTATGGCACCGGTTGTATAGCGAGCGGCAAATCCGAACGCAATCCGGGCATGTCGTGCGGGTGCGGCGCCGGCGACGCCGGCTGTACGGACTGCGGCTGTTGTCGGGCATGCGAAGCCGTGCCGAAGGAGGCCTTCGCCGGCAACGAGAACAACGAATCGCCGCCACTTTTGCCACTCAATCAGATGGCGTTCAACGCCGCCCAACAACAGCTCAATTACGCCGACTCTATCAGCGACGATATGCAACGATTCGCCGCCGCGTACGCGATGGTCGAGTCAGGACCGGCCGGCGCCGCGGCCGCCAATCAGTTGAACGCCGTGAACGCGGCCACAGCGGCGGCCGTTGCCGTCTACGCGGCCAACGAACACGTGTACGAAGAGCCGCAGTTGAGTCGGGCGGCGATGCGGGCGGCGCTCAATCCGCGGACCGAACGCCGACGAGTGGGCGTCGATATACTGGGCCGACGTCTGCGACACGCGGGCAAAGCGTACCGTAATTTGGCCGGAGTTTCGGGAAGTGGTGGCGGCGGTGGAGCCGCAGCGGCGGCCGCCGCAGCCATCGGTCGAGATCACGAGGCGATGGGCGAGAACGCTATGCCGGCGGCCATGGAGTTGATCGACAAACACGTGTCTAATGTGATCAATATAGACATGAGCGACGCCGGCAGCGACGGCGAGGCCTCCAAACTGACACAATTGCCGCCAACGAAGCTAAACATATCGAGTCGTATCATTCAGATCGCCTGCGGTCTCCACCACTCCGTACTCCTCACCTCTTCGGGCGATGTCTACACATTCGGCAGCAATCAATTCGGACAACTCGGTCACAACGACTTCGCCATACGGGAAGTGCCCACAAAAGTGCTGCTCAAAGCCAACGTCATTCAGATTCCTCACCTCTTCGGGCGATGTCTACACATTCGGCAGCAATCAATTCGGACAACTCGGTCACAACGACTTTGCCATACGGGAAGTGCCCACAAAAGTGCTGCTCAAAGCCAACGTCATTCAGATCGCCGCCGGCAGTAATCACACGGTTCTGCTCTCGTCTACGGGACAGGTGTACACATTCGGCAACAACCAAAAGGGACAGTTGGGTCGCAACCCGTCCACCATTGACTTCGCGTGGAACGCCATTCCCGGCACTATCGCCACCATTGGTCAACAGTACGGCCGAAAGGCCACATACATATCGGCGTCCGGCGACCACACGTTCATCAAGTTTGACGAGTCGCTCATTAATCCGCTGTCACTGTCGTCGGCCCGAGTGATAGCCAATCGCCGGTGCATTGCAATCATTCCCTCCAATCCGGAGCTCTCGGCCTCGGCTAAGGACGACCGATACGAGCTAATTGACCGTCAGTTTCACTCACTAGTCATCAGCCGTTCGGACGGCCAGTGCAAGAGTTTCAACACATCGGATCAGTTAGAATTGGCCGCCTTCTCGGCCGTATGTCTCGACAACTATTACGACGTGTTGTGGACGTACGACACGAAGAGTCACGCATTCAATCGCTATAATCTGATATACGCCGAGACAAAGATACCGAACCAGTCGTTGTCGTTGACGTCGATTCTGTTGCCAGAGTTAGCGCTCCCGCAGAAGCCGTCCACGAAAGTGAACCGAACGACAGCCGCACTCAACCTATTGTGCACTTTGGATACACTGACGGCCGCACATCAAATCGGTTTGCATTTAACTGTTTATTTGTATTGAAGCCCAATATTTACTGTGATTTTTATCTTAAAACCTGAACCCAAAGGCTGGACCATCGAAGAGGTCGACCAAAACAAGAGCAAAATCACCAAAAGTCTGAGCAAAGATGACTTCTCGTCTGTTTGTCGTTTTGAGAGTCACGGCGGAGGTATGTCATCGATCGGGCCATTAGTTTGCCATCATTTTTGATTTGATTATTGTTTTCAAACTCAAAGGTTGGGGTTTTTCGAGTCACTCGATAGAAGCGATACGTTTTATGGCCGACAACGACGTCCTGTTGGGCGGATTCGGTCTGTTTGGCGGTCGCGGCGAATACACGGCGAAACTCAAACTCTTCGACATTGGACCCGACGGTGGGGAACAGGAGGGCGACGGAGAGATACTGTCGGAAACGGATGAGATATCGTTTGAATGCGCCGCTCGACAGAAGTTTCCCATACTGTTTGAAGAGCCGGTTCCGCTTCAGGCCAACCGGTGGTACGTGGCGTGGGCTCGCATTTCGGGCCCCAGCAGTGACTGCGGCTCCAGCGGCCAGTCGGTGGTCAACACCGAGGATCAGGTGGTCTTCTATTTCAAGAGTTCCAAAAAGTCAAACAACGGAACCGATGTAAACGCCGGACAAATACCGCAAGTCCTGTATAAAGTGGTGTCCGGCGGCGGCGGTGGCGGTGACTCGTCCTCGCATGCGTCCAATCGCAGCGAATCCAACGGCTTATACGAAGAGTCGGTGTGTATTGTGGGCAAAGAGTTCTCGCTGACCGTCAAAACCGAGTGCTTTCATTCGCTGCTGAAACTGTTGCGCTGGGGCTGGAAGTCCTTCAAAGCCATCGTGACCGACATGAACAGCACCGGCAACACAGAGTCCACTGATCTGTTGGGCACTAATCTCATTGAATTGCGACACTTGACGTACATCTGTTGCGCTTCACTTCATTTGCTGAACGTTTACGTCAACGAAATCTATCCGAACAGACATAACGAACAAAAGCCGGTCTCGCAGTCAAACGACTCGTTAAGACTCGCCGAATGTGTATACGAAGTGCGGACACTATTGAAGCGGATTCTGTCGGCACCGCCCGACCCGCCGCCCCGTAACCACTCGTTCACCGGCGAAGTGAACGCTTTTATATCGCAGATTATGGACGAAAGTCACGAGACGTTTCTCGCCTGTTATCACGCCTTCTATCCGAGCAGTTCTCTGCGGTGGCGCGCGTTGTGCGACCTTTTGCTCAAAGATCATCACCACTCGGCGTNCGCTTTTATATCGCAGATTATGGACGAAAGTCACGAGACGTTTCTCGCCTGTTATCACGCCTTCTATCCGAGCAGTTCTCTGCGGTGGCGCGCGTTGTGCGACCTTTTGCTCAAAGATCATCACCACTCGGCGTCCGGACACAAGCCATCCGTTCATCTATTGTCGGCGATGTTGGCCTCGCTGTGCAGGCCGTGGGTTCGGTTGGCGCAGACCTTTCCCATTATGAATGGTTTGGATGTCTATAACCTTCAAAGTCCTTCTGAGCTTCAAAGTCCAACTTCTGGTTATTGTCGGCGATGTTGGCCTCGCTGTGCAGGCCGTGGGTTCGGTTGGCGCAGACCTTTCCCATTATGAATGGTTTGGATGTCTATAACCTTCAAAGTCCTTCTGAGCTTCAAAGTCCAACTTCTGGTTTGTTTTAATCGTAATGTTTTTGAAGTAATTGTTTTTAACAAATTGTTACGATTTTTTGCATTAGATTTAGGCATTAGTTATGAAAACTCAATACTTAACGACAAACTGTTGGAGAAGACCGATGAAGAGGGCTGTCATTCGGGCACTGAGTGCTCATTTCGTGATATATTTAACAATTTGCTTGAAATCATTGGTCAACCGATCCGTTATAGCCTTCAACAGGAGAACAACGCCAACAATGTCTCGGAGTTGGAGTTGGAGACAGAGTTAGAGTCGGAAAGCAGTCATTGCATACAATTGGTTGAGAACTCGTGTAATCTGATCACAACAATAATGGCCGAACTCGTGGCTCAGGTGACGGGTATTGGCGGCGATTCGCACGTTATGAGCGGTCAACAGCTGCACATCACTCCCTCACGATTCTCGCGAATTTCGCAGAACAGGACGTGGAATACGGGCAACGGCTCGCCCGACGCCATCTGCTTTTCGGTGGACAGACCGGGCATATCGATAGCCGGTGTCACCGTTTACGGCGGTATTGGCAACGAATGGCACTACGAGTTAGAACTGCTCGTAATCCAACGGCTTATACGAAGAGTCGGTGTGTATTGTGGGCAAAGAGTTCTCGCTGACCGTCAAAACCGAGTGCTTTCATTCGCTGCTGAAACTGTTGCGCTGGGGCTGGAAGTCCTTCAAAGCCATCGTGACCGACATGAACAGCACCGGCAACACAGAGTCCACTGATCTGTTGGGCACTAATCTCATTGAATTGCGACACTTGACGTACATCTGTTGCGCTTCACTTCATTTGCTGAACGTTTACGTCAACGAAATCTATCCGAACAGACATAACGAACAGAAGCCGGTCTCGCAATCAAACGACTCGTTAAGACTCGCCGAATGTGTTTACGAAGTGCGGACACTATTGAAACGGATTCTGTCGGCACCGCCCGATCCGCCGCCCCGTAACCACTCGTTCACCGGCGAAGTGAACGCTTTCATATCGCAGATTATGGACGAAAGTCACGAGACGTTTCTCGCCTGTTATCACGCCTTCTATCCGAGCAGTTCTCTGCGGTGGCGCGCGTTGTGCGACCTTTTGCTCAAAGATCATCACCACTCGGCGTCCGGACACAAGCCATCCGTTCATCTATTGTCGGCGATGTTGGCCTCGCTGTGCAGGCCGTGGGTTCGGTTGGCGCAGACCTTTCCCATTATGAATGGTTTGGATGTCTATAACCTTCAAAGTCCTTCTGAGCTTCAAAGTCCAACTTCTGGTGAGTTTTAATCGTAATGTTTTGAAGTAATTGTTTTTAACAAATTGTTACGATTTTGCATTAGATTTAGGCATTAGTTATGAGAACTCAATACTCAACGACAAACTGTTGGAGAAGACCGATGAAGAGGGCTGTCATTCGGGCACTGAGTGTTCATTTCGTGATATATTTAACAATTTGCTCGAAATCATTGGTCAACCGATTCGTTATAGCCTTCAACAGGAGAACAACGCCAACAATGTCTCGGAGTTGGAGTTGGAGACAGAGTTAGAGTCGGAAAGCAGTCATTGCATACAATTGGTGGAGAACTCGTGTAATCTGATCACAACAATAATGGCCGAACTCGTGGCTCAGGTGACGGGTATTGGCGGCGATTCGCACGTAATGAGCGGTCAACAGCTGCACATCACTCCCTCACGATTCTCGCGAATCTCGCAGAACAGGACCTGGAATACGGGCAACGGCTCGCCCGACGCCATCTGCTTTTCGGTGGACAGACCGGGCATATCGATAGCCGGTGTCACCGTTTACGGCGGTATTGGCAACGAATGGCACTACGAGTTAGAACTGCTCG